TATATGACTAAACGCATCCAAATGAGTATAATCATATCAATATCATATATGATTATATGCATGATACACGATCTTAATCATATATGACTAAACGCTTCCAAATGAGTGTAATCATTTATGATATTGAGACTTCTCACTTTCTCGCAAAATGTTTAACTTCTCGCAAGATCCATCCCTTCTCTCTCTATATTCCACACCAGAATGAGGTGGGGGATAAAGAAAGTGGAAGCCCACATGATGAAATCTGGAAATAATTGTAAATTCTAAAATGAGGAAATAGAAATAACTTTATTCTCAACCAACCTAAAGAAACAAAAACACCAGACATTGGTCCCCTTGGTTGTCGGGAAAAGAAATAGACATGAAGTATGGAAGATGGAACCAGAAAGGGACTTCAAACCAAATGGTCTCACTAAGTCATAGCTACATTCATGCTCCACATAAAATGTTCATCACTAGCTATGCTACATTCATCTTCCTAAAATGACTGTAATCATCACATTCTGGCTATTCACATGGATTTCTAATGTAAACTCTACTTCTCCAAATGAAGAAAAGGTAAATGAATCTAGAAGTACCTAGGAATCATTTGATTGCTCCATCATCCAAACCTGAGATGGAATATAGTAACATTTCTGGATTCGTATGTGAATGAATACTATTACATTAAATAACACTCATGATTCTTATACAAATAAACTAATATTGATTACATGTTAAATAATATTCATACATTCACATATGAAGGCTAACAGAATCAAGGTTTTTGTAGAGTAACATTCAGGATTCATATGTGAATGGATCTTGTTACATTAAATAACATTCTGGCTTCAATCAATCCACATGTGAATACAGCAATGAACATTTTAAAACACCCAGTAGATCGATTCGTTAAATAAAGTACAGCAATACGGGTGACATGTCGATAATCTACTCTGTTTTGGATTACTGACATACAACAGTTCAGCATCCAATTTGGCTCAAGAGAATGATCTTAGTATGTGTCTTAACTGTCTATTAACGGAAGTAACATCTTTCATTATTAAAACCAAATGTTATATTTGTACAAAAGAAGAAAATAAATGGCAAATTGGCGCCTTAAAAGACAATAATAATCACTTCATAAGATCTATGAATACAAACGCATTCCAAAGGCTGTGTAAGAGCATAGAAGGCAGTAAGTTTCTTGACCGTGAAAAAACAGCACCCATTACGATCCCAAGAAATACAAGTGGCAGCATTCTCTGCATATTGAAATGTGCCAATGCAAAAGCTAAAGAACTCACCAGTATTGAGCACCATACAGGCATGTACCTGGTCAATGAAGGCAGAAGGAACCCTCGAAACACAACCTCCTCCCAGATTGGGGCACAAACCGAGACCACAATGGCATAAAGTGCCATTGCCACAGGGTCTCGTGCAACAATTGATTGCTCAACGTTTGAAACAGTGACTGGAGCAGGTGGAAGCATGGGTAATAAATTCAGGTTAACCTGTGAAAGCCGGTTGACCAAGGGGAACATGAGGCATCCTAAACCAACATCAAATTGCCAATTGCCTTTAAAACTAAGCTTGAACCAATCAGATGATAGGGGGCGGAATGGTGCGAGACAACGATGAAGAATCGCAATACCCGCAATGCCTTCTGCCACATCTGTCAAAAGACTGTAAAATGCTTGTCCTCTATAAGTTAAGGACTCCTTTCTGACACCAGCTATGTGCGCTAAAAATGGTATTATCCAAGATCCTACTAACCAGAAAGAGGCAATCCAGAGGAGCATCACCTGCATTATCAAACTTCGTTACTTTCAGAATTGATGTAAAATACTTCTTACAAATTACAATAATTCTTATTTTAACTTTTTGCACTTATATGTGTTGACTCCATATAAATTATATCTCAATCCTCTTGAATGGCGATAAAAAGATAACCATTTAACATTTGTCATGAAGTACATCATTAACAACAAATACATTATATAATTGGTTAATCCTAAAACCTTTATGCTTCCATTTCCAGTAGTTACATTAAAAACTCAAGTCTATTAGCTAAATGACCAAAAACTGTTGCATGTAAACATTTCAATTAGAGTAAATCGTTTGGACTAAACTGAATCACAAGTAGTTTTCCAAGGATTGTAACAAAAGTATTTTGACATAAAAAATACTGCAAGGTATGCCCCAACAAGATCACACAATAGCATACTTTCCAATTGCTTTAGGTGTCTTTATGATCGAAGACTTTCAACCCTAGTATTAGCTTTACAAAAACAAAAATCTTATGTGTTGGGTCTCTTATCATGTACGAGGGAGAAAGCAAATTCCAAACTAGCTTTCTTTCAATGAAATAGATGTTCTCTGCATTCAGCTGCATCACCGATGCTCCTTGTTCGATCACCAATATAAACAATTGTAGTGATCCTTTGGTCCTAGAAAGATTCTCCATCATGTGATCCTGCCACCCCGAGAGCTTCCTATTGACTCAAGGTACATCTAGGATTCCACGTCACTTTCTTCCGTTGTGCTTTCAGTCAATCTCCTTTGACTCCACCAACCCCTCTTTCAATTATTGCAGATCGGAGTTTGGTGTCTCCTACTAAGGTTCTTGCCCATCATTGGCTTCCACAAATCGAGTATTTCTTCTCTTGTAATTTTAGTTTAACGGTACGATCTCCCGATCAAGAAAGTTGGAAGGATTAAGACCTTGTAGCCAGCCAATTATTTCTCTTTCTGATTTCAGGACAAACCACTCTTTTCAAGCAGGCACATAAGTCCACCTTCCCCTCTACTTATTCAAGGAGAAGAAAAGAGATCATTTCAATTTTGATTTGTTCCAATCTCTTGAAAGAAGTCCTGAAGTAAACAGATCCTTACATCTTGGAAAACATGTCCACTATGCTCATTCATCTCCACTTCCCCATATTATGCATGTTTTCCTTGTTTTTGACATCAATTTGATGACAATACCCTGCGAATATTTAGTATAAATACATCCATGGTATTTGTTTTATAGCATCATATTCATTTGTATTGGAGTTTCATCCTCTCCACATAAAAACCTTGTTACACGATCTAGTGTAGATAACTTGGAACTGTTTTCTGCCAATAAAATGTGATGGAAGTCCTTCTTGGTGAAACAACTTGATGGAGAAAAGGTTAAAGTTTTGTATCCCTGTTATAATATGTCTACAGTAAGGGTACTACGACGGCTTTTTATCTGTTCCATTGCTTATGAATGAAGTTACACAAGATAAGTGTACTAAGCATCTCTCTATCATGCATTGTTTTCAAAATCGTTCGAGGCTTATGCCGAGGCATTAGGATCCCGACCATGAGGCGCCGCATCAGGTGAGCTGAATGAAGCGTACGCCTCAGTCAGAGAGAGGCGCGTGTTGGGGCGGTTGGGCGGTGATGAGGCGGAGGCCTCTAATGGTATCTGTTTAGCCGACTGGTTCTTTTCTAGAGAAAGAAGATGAACCTAAAAGTTGTACCTTTTTAATTAAAGTTATACCTTTTTATTTAAAGACCCAAAAGCCAGCTGTTTCTACAGTAAAAAGGTGTCCTCCTTCAATAAAAAAAGATTGCGTTGTACTTTCACTATGTGAGTGTTTATATATACAATCGGTGTCGTCAATTTGTCAGTCACTATTCTTGCGGTGCTTGAATATTATACACACACACATATATATTGTATTGTATTATTTGTATATATATTTTGTATAAATACTTTAATTATATATACGTCCAGAATCTTGTGCTGTATATATAGTAGTGTATGCATTGTATTATACTATTTTTATATATTTAGTACATATATTTTGTATTATACTATTTTTATATATTTAGTACATATATTTTGTATTTTACATATATACACATCCACCTCGGGGCTTACGCCTCGCCTCACCAAGGGAAAACGCCTCGAGGCCCGATTCCATTTTTTAAAACCTTGCTATCATGTAAGAAATTTTCTCCAGCCACTAGCTACCAATGTGTATCACCTGTGATTACAACCACATTTGGTTTGACATTTGCAAAAAAATCAAACTTGGTTGCCAACGACACCACAGTGGTAGTGGTGAAATTAGAAAACAAAAAAGCTTGACAAACAAACATTAAAACTAGTGATTAGAACCACCATATCAAGGGAACTCAGAAAAAAAACAATGTATATTATATGACACACAAGAGACGTTCATATCAAAGAAAAATAGAGAAGAGGAGAGGAGAAAAAGACCCAAGTATTTGGCGTCAATATTCAATGTGTTAGGAATATGTATGTAAAATGACTTGGGATTAGCGAAGTGTCAAAATTCAAGGTTCTAGAAAAATGTATGTAATGTGACGTAAGGATTAGCATAGTGTTATCTTCTTGGTTTTCGAGCTTGCCACTCAAAAATAATCAAGGCCATTACGTCAAACCCTTAAAATAGTTGGCTAAGCCATATCTACATCTGCACAAGCCACATGCAACTAAGCTAAGCTATATTCATTTCTTGATGAAGGGTGGCAGATCAAACTACAGCCAAACAGAAGTATTTGTTCTTCACAACCCATTACCATATTCAACACACAGCAGCGGCATCCCAGCTATTACTTCTGAAGGAACAACTTAGTTTTTCTTTCCCATGACAAATGCACATCTTAGCTTCTTCACCAATAACCTCTATTGATGCAAGCCACTCATAGTTATAGCATTTAACCTCCATATTAGAATATACAGTACACTGGGTAGTAAATAGTGGTACAATAGCGGATTGTGGTCCTGACAAGAATTGCGGTTCAAAATAGCAGTGGTTTATAGCGATGCCACAATTTATTTATTTTTTTGATTAACCTGGATAAGTGGATATTCAACCCGCTATGCGAGCCGACTAATCCCAGGGCGACCACTTGCTTTGCAGATAGCCCAGAGTCACCGCATTTGAACCTCCGTGGCCACAAGGGGATTTTTATTCCTCCTTGGATTTGAACCTGAGACCTCGTGATACAATTAGCGGCACTATTCGCCGCGATTTTGTATCACAATAGCGGTCCGCCATTGTGCAACTAGTCTTGGGCCATTTCAGTGTTGGGGATTAGGTTTTTAGAATATTTGGGCTTTGTTTTAATATTTTATGGGCCTTTCTTTTCTTTTACTTTAATATTCTTGGGCCACTTAAGACTTTTCTGAGTTTTAGTTGACCTAATTCAATCCCTCTCAAGTTTCATCGACCGAATCATAAATCATATCCAAGAGACCATGACTGAATCCTCCCTGCCTTTCAAGATCCAGCCACTCGACTGAATCATGAATCATCCAGTCACTCGACTCCATTGATAGGCTCCATAAACTCTATTACTATGTTGCTTGTGTGGTTAGAAACTTTGAATTGTTTGACTTGATAGGTATTAGCCATACAATATATTAAGTTATATATGTTCGTATTTAATTTATGAACCTACTTTTTTTTATTACCGCTATACCACCACGATAACCGCGGTTGCAAATCAAGGTCCTGACAGCAATTTCCGCAATCGACCATTAACTGCTTAAATATTACATATGAATATAATAACTACTCGCATGTGGCTTTTCATTATTTTTCTGGACCATTTCATTTGACTGATAATATGGCTGACACCGGGTAAGTAATRGCATTAGGTGGTCAACACAGAGAAGAATCCATGAAAAATAAAGTGGCAATTGACAAAAGCAAAGAGTTGCACCTGAAGAATGGTTTTAGCCGTCCATGGCACTGTCCATGGTTCTGCTCTAAATATAGCATCTACAGCCTGAAAAACACATGCAAGTATTCAACAAAATGAAGCACAGGGGGTTGAGCAAGTTTCACCTTTACTGCATGGAGTTGAGAATCTTTTCTCTCTCTCCAACAAATTCAAAAAATTAAAAGCATAGTAAGAAGATAATCAATGGTATTGTATCTCAACAACGCATGTTCTTGTTTCCACTTCCGCTGAAGCACAATTGTGTTGTACATTATGTCATCGCATAAATGCTACTATGTTACATGGATGTTTCACTTGCACAGTCTTCACCTTTATTGAAATCCTTCCATTGATTATCAATGGAAAGCATACGTAGCATCATTGAAGTCAATGCAAGTATCAACTAACTCAAATAATTACCTTTCTAAGGTTYGAAGGCCAATCATGCTTCACATTTGGTTGGTTCGGTTCTGGTTCTAGAGCCTCTCCTGGCAACGTATCTTCTGCAGTCTCCGGGATGGTGTAATCCAAAGAAGAGTTTTCATCCTTAAAGCATGAAAATCTCCAGTTCTACACAAAAACATTAAACCTTCTCAATTCAAAAAAATAAATCAAACTCAGATGGAACTCACAGATTGCTTTATTACAAAGAGATGCAAAGACTCAACATTTAAAACGTGAATACCTTTTCTTAATAAAGTAAAAATACACTTAATGAATGAAGTAAATGCCATCAAATAGCTACAACTGAAGAAAAAAAATGCCATTGTGAAAGTGGTGTTCATGAGGATTTAACATACGTCCCAATTACTAAAGCTTCTCTTTTGTTAGGTACACTTTCTCTCAGTACTATAGTTTGCTATTCCAAACCAAACATACAAACATTGATATGCTCTCTGTGTCCCCTACATTTAAATGACTAGATGAAAATTAAGTGTGATACATCATTCTACAGTTGTTCAAACCCCCTTGAAGACACAAATACATGAAGAAATATAAAAATTTATGACATATGCGTAGGTAAGAAACTTACAATTAAATCATACCGACTTACTAATGTCTCAAAGGCTTGGTTTACAATTATGATTAATTCAGAAAACCAAAACATAATGCTACTAGTTCCGACCTAAATTCAATTGATAGAAATAGAAATCAGAAATGTGAGTTTCAACTTACATTTCTCAAAGACCTTGAAGAAGAAAATGTTGACAGGCGAGCGGTCCGATTGAGTGAACTATTCGGTTTATAGAGTTTATGCTCAACTCTAGATGTGGAAGGAAGCGAGGGGCGAAGCGAAAGCGCTTGGCAAAAAGGCGATGTAGAAGTAGACATGTCGATGAGCGTTTGCTGGATAAGAGTCGGTTGTTGCTGCTGCATCAGATGCGGCACAAAACCCTAGCGATGCGGTTCTCACATGTTGAAGCGATTGAGACGACAGCGGTGAAGGAAAAGCCTGGTTTCTAGGGTAGTGGAGGAGAGATGGTGGTGGTAACGGCGGCAGCGGAGGAGGAGAAAACTCCGACGACGGTGACAAGGATGGAGCAGGGAATGAAGGAAGAAGGGTAAGGAGGCATTATGGTGTGGTTGTGTTTGGATTTTGGTTTGGGCAGCTTCGAATGTTCTAGAAAATTACGAGACTTAAAACTGCAAAACTTATCTCTTCAGTCATCGATATTCTATTACTAAATAAATCACGAGATTTGATTTTAAATTAATTTTTTTACATTTTATTTAAAAAAATATTCTCATATTTATCAACATTATATTCAGCCATGGTCCAAGGAGCGGCCCAATGTATCACGACCACAGGGTTATATGTTTGACATAAAAATTTATGTAGAAAAGTTAAAAGATACAATAAAATAAAGTGGAACAGACTTGTTCCATCCCTATCATATGGAACAAGGTGAAACAGATTTATATTTTATTAATATAAAATAAAATTTAATTCTCTATTAAAATATTAAATAGGTCTCATTTTTATATTTTACTAGAAGCGTACTCGCGCAATGCAACGAGATACATCGTGATTTTAATATTTCATTTTATTCTTTATCTTAGTTGATGTTATAATATGGTTTTATGTGATTTTGATAAAACGATGATGTTTTTATTTTTGAATAAAATATATGTTTGAAGATATCATAAAAATTTGACAAAAATATATCGATATTAGTATCAAATTAACTATTTGAAAT